TGAATTCAACAAAATCTGTTCGGTATCAGTTGGATGTAACGTTTTCGAGAATAATTTCCATCACATTTCCAGTGTCTCTTTATATACCACAGGGATTTGTTCATATTTATATGAATTCCATAGTGTAAGAATTTGTATCATTTTTAGCGCAGAATGCTTGCATGTCCTACATTCTTGAAGTATTCACTGGATGAAAATGTGCTCCTGATCTTAATAAAACGTTTCCACCATTAAAAAACACTCATTTTTAAATAATTAAACGTATTGTCTAAAATTATGAACGCTATAAACAAGGAACTAGTCTTCGGTGAGATATATTTTATGAAGACTCCTAGTGATATCCAAAGCCATATGGCTATAAACTGTTTCTACTGGACGCTTACTTGGTGGTTCTAACTTTTAAGTGTCTCACCTGAAGATCCTGTATTTGATCTTTAGTGCGATGGTGGACGAATAATTTTTAAGTTCCACATACTAGGATGAAACAGTTTTGTATTTCTACATGGTTTTCAATCGTGCCCGGCTGAGATCATTCTGTGACGACTGTAACCTGAATGTTGAAGAAATGTTTTAAACATTTACATGATCCTATCAAAATTGATAACAATCACTATTATGAATTAAAATTTGCAGTAAACAAAATGCACCAAAGTTTAAGTATTGAAATATGAATCATACTAAATGTATGAAGTTTAAGGATACTGTGGTGTGTGCTACTGACGACGACATATATAAGTAGTATGTATCGACAGTCGTAAGTGGGATCCCAAGCGGCAGAAAGTTGAGAAAATCGAAGGGAAAAGAACATGAACAGAGAGTGATTGGTATAGAGACGAAGGAACAACAAAGTCTGAGACAAGTGATAGATATTTTTGCAAATGAAATATTTACTGTATGGTGCTCAGATTTTACCAAGATATTCTGTAATGTTATATTAAAATATATTTGTTTGTCCTCTCCCGTGTTCTCGTTCAATACAATGCTATCCTGTTACTTAAAATTTAAATCAGTTGTGAACGAGTTCAATCTTTTACAAATAAATAACATTTGAAAAATATTAAGATGTGAAGAGAAGAAAAAATATTTAGTTGATTAAAAACAGAAATAAACTAGTTGGAGGTAGAAAGTTTAAGGAGAAGATGGAAGCGTAAACAGATGGTTATAAAGGAAAAAGAGTATGAAGAAAGAAAAAAAAGAAAACTCATTTATAGACACTCCCTACATGATACTTTCGAATTCATTGAACACATAAGAGAAGTGAAGGAAACACTTGTCAAAAACGGGTATCCTTTGATATTAATTGATAAGAACATAAAAACGAATCCGCCGAAAACACAAATAACTTAAGTCGAAAAGAAAACATTATACATGAACATCGATTTTAAGTGACAGAACCACATACATCTTAAAGAGGATGATTTCTGATTCTTTAAAAAGAACGTTCATCACAGCAACGTTGCAAATAGTATTTTCCAGCCGATCATTGTTCACCAATAATCTTAAGGATAAATTATCCCATTTGACCAAATCAATGTGCATTTACCAATTTACCTGCTCATATGGAGCCAGGTATATAGGTCGTTCGATACGCACTTTATCCAAACAAAATCAAGAACATTATTAGGCGTGGCTAAGAAGAGGAGGAAACGGCTCAATAAGAAGTTCAATAATCGAACACAGGTCACCTAATCAAGACAGACTATGAGTTCAAAGTCATCTACAACATATACAGAAGTCTTCCAAAGACAATTATATTGCATCTTCTTAGCATTACCGAAGCGCTAGTCATAAATCTGGAAAAACCAGAATTGTGTGTCCAAAAGAGGTTGTTTAACCTCTTCCTCTACCATGGTCCTAATGTCTTATATATTTTTATTTTTTTTATTTTCTTTTTCTTTCTTCATACTCTTCTTCCTTTATAGCCATCTGTTGCCGCTTCCATCTTCTCCTTAAGCTTTCTACCCCCAACTGGTTTGTTTCTGTTTCTATGATCTTCCTGATTACATTGAATCTTGATTGATTAAACTGTTTTTTTTTCATAAGAAGATGAATATTATTGTATATCTAGTTCACAAGATGTAAATAAACTAAAACGTGAATATCATTTGAACAGATGTCAATATTATCTTTCGCTATAATAAATATCATTGATAATTTGTTTAGCATAGCCATTCATATAGATTACTGTATACATCTTTCTTCACATTAGTTAAAATGGATTTATGTCTTGTAAATATTTATTTTATTTTTCTGTATAAAAAACAATAGTGGTTTCTATATCATAAAGTTAATTTAGTAAAGGAACACAAAATATCAGAAGGGGTTTTATGGAGATCTTAGTAATTTCAATAGTTGAGATCATGAGTCGATTGAAATTAGATCATGGAAAACCTAGAAACATTGGACGCCGTTTTGTCCTATTGTGGGACTCCTCAGCAGTGCTCGCCATAAAATAGAAAATAGCATTTGTACACAATAAACCCAAAAAGTGACTGTGAACGTGGTAGGCAGTAGTTAATTAACTGAGCATAGCTTAAGAACAGTAAATCGTACAATAATAAATTATAGGTCAAAATAAAGCTTATAATAAGAGGAATATAAATATACATAATCTAATTATTGAATAGTTATACCATAAGAATGTATAGATAATATTAGTCAATTAATATATCTCAGAAGTTACTCGTGACTCAATCTTCACTCGGATATAACACTTTTTTTTCAAATTTAAGAAATTTCGGTGTGAATTTTATCATATACTGATTTCATTTGAAACAAATACTACTAATAAAATTAATTTTAAATGTACTGGTCATTTGTTAAGTTGTAATCATACGACATAACAGTAAATGTGTTCTGAAGATTTTGCACATTGGATCTAGTTAAACACCTTTCATCTAATGTCAGTTTGTAACGAATGGTGACATGAGATCTAACAATCTCTACTAACCTTACATAATAAACAGAGATATATAGTGGCTAGCAGTGGGATCAATGATTTAGGTTTTATCCTATTTTGAACTCTTGTACCAGCATCCCAAAGTTGATATTCACGTCGTGACTCGAATACAGTATCATTCTTTCTAATTACCAGCTAATAGGATACCAACTTCTGTCATAATGGAAATATCGAGGCACAGGATGCCCATATTCCAACTAGGACTGATCAAATTTCAGTCAAAAATATCAACAACAGTAATGAATTGGATTGTTTTCTCTTTTTCCAAAAAAACGCAACATTTATTCTAGATATTTTGTAGCATGAAATACATACAGTGTACAAATTTATTCTATTTAACGAAATGAACTGACATCTTAAAGCAAATTACTGTTTTTGTAGACATTTGAGTTCGAACACTTCACTTCTATCTGAAGTTTGTGCTGATGATGTCGTTCAGAAGAATGATGAAAGCTCCACGACCAAACCATCCAGCTCAGAGAACAAAACTCCATCAAAATCACCCACCTGAGCTACAAATCTTCTCCACCAGTTTAACCTATTAAAACTATCAACACTATTCAGATTTAATTTCATCGATGCAATAAAGCCATTACAAACATTATGGTGTACAAATTCTATACAAAACATTACAATTTGATGTTGTTTTCCCAAAAAAGACTTATAGAATGTAATTGCTTGTAATACATGCATCTTATCTACTTAACTCAAATCCTCAACTCTCTTTCATTTCACTTTTGAAATTATTAATATTTGAAAAATGTTTGAAAAATAATTTCACTCATAGTTACCATAAGGATACAAACCAGTTATTAAAATGTCAGAGATTAAACTAAAATTGTTTTTATGATAGAATATGTTGGTTTGTTTTGTCTTTTTTTCTTCTTGGGAATTTACGTGACTAGGAGCGACCAAACCAAAACGTGGCATCAGTCCTTGAAGTCACTAACTTCTGGTTTCAAGCATGTTGGTAGTTGCAGACTACTTTGTTGGGGTCCGCGTGACTATCGTAACCATTGGTTGGAGACTCTGTATGACGTGTCTCAAAATCGGTCACAATGGCATCGGTGTATGCACTCTTTGTCTTCGCTTAAACTATGAGATTAAAGTCGCTTCATATCTTTCTTTCTACTAACTAATTCCTTCTTCCTGTACTATATCCTTATATGCAATCTTTCTTTTATATATTACCACCATTGAATTAACTACTTCTGTGAATTCGATGTTCATCTTGTTGAGCTAATAAGGTATGACAACTTGGACCGATGCACATATGTGCATGGTCCCACGTTGTAGCTGACTGACTGACGTGACTATACAAAAATACTGTCAATGTTTTATATCAATGGATATGTAACAAACCACTTTCATTATTATCTATGTATGTATAAATACAATTGACTACAAACTTGGATTGTTATGATATCAATTAATAACTGTTTAATTTTACCGTTGAACGTTGGGGTTGGGAATAAGAGTTGACATCAACTATAATACCAAAATGGTATTTAGTCAAATGAATGAATGAATTTTGCTCCAAAATCCAAGACCACCTATCTTAAATTTGATCGATTCGTTCATAAATTAGTCTAACTATCATCTCAACGTGAGGATTGAAATGTTCAATGAACATATCAAGCTGTTACAAAAAATTATGTTAAACTACAGAGAGTAAAAAATGTCTCTGTTTCATCTCTGGCTTGAAACTTGTAAGCAGTACACACTTTCAACACGACAAGAGGTTGAAATCTTATTGTTAAGCATAATATAATGCAAACCCATTAGTTCCTTGCTTATTTACATCTTTTATTCGTGGAACAAAATAGCTATTTAGGGCTTCACAGTTTACACTGATTTCCTAGCAGCCGAGATTTGGTTCACGACGAAAACACTCACAAATAACATTTGACTTAATAAATGTTTTCATTTCAATGATGGAATTATCTTAATTATATGTATTGTGGTTAAGAGGATTTTACCAATTCACTTTTCCATCTGACAGATTTTTTCTGTATTTTTCATTGTTCTTTTTTTCTAACAGAAATTTGTTCGTTATTACTCTAAACTTCGTCAGTGTGACAATCATATAAATGAATCAGAAAGATCCCATAATACTATTCAAAACCATATTAATACTAATAATAATAACAGTGATAACAACAATGAAAGAAAAATTCCTGCTCTTTTGACACTACCAAAAGACTCAGAAGAAAGCCAACAAATATTAGATCGTTATAGTCCACAAATTAGCAAAAGTGAATTTGATGAAAATGATTGGGATGTGGAACAACCGGCTGAAAAATTATTAAATTCATCTTCTAATAAAGAACCATCAATACCATCAACAATGGCCACTACGAATACTCATATAACTGATCAGTTGGTAACTGGTAAAGTAAATGATGGCAATAAGGAACACTTAGTAAAAAAATACCGTTCTGTGCAGACTAGTGGTTGGTATATATTTCGAAATTGTTTTGGTCTATGTTGTTTTAAACCAGTAAGTTGTTCATCACCCTCCTGTTTAGTAATTCATTATTTTCTTATTATTAATAATACATTGAATACATTGTTTTGTAATTCTGAGTAAAGTGTTTAATTTTGAGAATATTTAAAACTAAGAAAATGAACCCACAACCTTTGAGTTGTCGAGAGGATCATGATTGAAATCCACTGGTCAGATCTTTTGCCACAAAGTCATGATTAGAATGCGAAAATATACTTAATCAAACGACCTTAACCAGTTAACCATTTGGTAAGTGTCTTGTTCTAGTATGCAGCAACAATGAACTATTCAATCCTCCTTTTTTCAATAGTTGTTTAGCTAATGCCAATCTCAAATATATATACTATCGTCAAATATTTATTTGCCAATACTTAGAAAAATGTTAGACAGTTACTTCCATGGTGTATTTCATCAGCCTAACTTATACAGTAATTTTGTCATAGAAAACAATCGACAAAAAAAACAGCCATCCACTCCCAAAATGTTTTTGTTAGTGACAAAAACATTAAATGTTTCTAGACAAAATATAAATTTGACTACGCAAGTTAATCTACATTTAAATATGTGAAAACAAAAGACAACATAAAGCCGATGACTGTCCAAATAGTTTGGTTAATTTTATTGATTATCATTTATGAAATCGAAGTTGAAATCAATTTAATTATGAAATGATTTCCTTTTTAGACCGACAGGAATGATATAATACTGAAGTTCACTCAACCGTAATGTATTCTGAAGCAAAATGGTTTGGAAATTATGATTTCAAAAAATAACTTCGACAAAACTATAATTTATGGACGAGCTAGTCAGATTTAAGATAACTAGTGTTGGATTTGTGCACGAAATTCACTCATCCATATAGCGAAATAGCATTTTGGTATTATGGCCGATGCCAATTTGTGATAAAAACCCTAAATCTTATTCCTAACCCTAATTTCCAGCCGTAAATCCTTATTCTGAATCCTTACACTAATTTATAACCCATATGTAGTTAGAATGTCCAAGGTCAATGTAGCATTGTTTAAAGGTCGTCTATAGATTGTAGTCTCACCATAACATCTACTATTTTGTAAGTTTTGAAAAGAACACACTATAAACTATTCTACATATTATCTTATAACGGTCAGTTATAAACTACATAGGAGTTGACATGAATGTGTTTTGATGCAAGTTGCTACACTAGCTCAACACAATCAATTGAAATTGTTAAGATTCACAGGTAGTTGAAGCAATAGTGGGTTAGAGAAAATGTTTCAAATGGAAGAAAGGATTTTGTCGAATAAGTAGTTTAAAACTGATATGTCGAAGAAGGTAATATGTAGTTGATCAATGAACGAAGGTGGACGTTCAGTAATAACAAATATAAGAGACTATTTTAAATGTGAAGCTGATTTCACTCAATGTGAACTGCTTCGTGTCAATAAAGTGTCATTCTGGTGTAGTCTGGTTTTAGGTTATTAAACAAGTAATCGAATCAAATTTTTAAACTGATCTAGAATCGTGATCTAGTCTCCAATATAATGACCTATTGATCTAATATAGATCATCTCTTGCGTCACTACACGAATACCATCGAAATTCAAAATATAGATGAAGATAAGGAACGCTTGTACACCACTATAAGACCTTAAATGAATAGACCGCACCTTCCGTTGTAAGTCAATCCAACACCCGATGAATTTGAAATGCTTGAGCCACAGGTAGTTCAAGTTCGAAAGAGTTGGACTTAATTTCTAAATTCTTTCAGAGGTTTCGTCAACCGCCTACACACCAGTAGTAATGGAGCGTCCAAGCTACTTCAAATGGTCAACGCCCCCATTTGTTTAGCTCAATATGCTGACTACAAATCTACACAGATCATTTTAGGAGTAAAGATCTACATATAAAATCAAACGTGTTGCAAGTACTCTTGGATTATTACCTAAATCATCAGAAATATTGAGATTTCTCGATGTGTTCACCGAACTGGGCATCAATGCTGATCGTTCCCTAGCTTAATAATGGTACATGAACATTGTCTACTCGAAATGTTATCATACTCAAGATGCCTTAGATTTTAAATTATTGATCGAAATACTACTAAACCCCACCATTGATTCCTATTTGAAACAAGACTTCAAAACAGTTTTCTGATGTTATTCTGTATATTGAGCATCATCAGATTAAAGACCTTATCCAAACATTGTAATGAATTTCGATAGATACTTCATAACATATTCTATTAAAAATCATTTACGTAACTTCGTACAGTTAAATGATTATTTTAATATAAAACGACACATAACAAAATTCACTTAAACTTAATTATGTCGTTCTTTCTCGACTAAAATCATTTAACGGCATATTTCTTGTCAAGAAACAGTAGGTTTTTCTTTCAGATCATATCATTCTATATTTTTTCTTAAGACAATCAAACAAGGAATTAATTGTCTTCTGTAATTTAATCTATTTTTATGCATTGCTTTGACAATTTTCTGGTTGACATTTAATAGGAAACATATACAAAGAAGCGTACATACCAATGTACGATTCAAATAAATCATCTAAATAGTGTCCAAAATTTAACGCATAGACAACATTAAACTGTATACATAGTTAAATAACCTAACATTATGTTAATAAGTGCGTATGTATGTATGTATGTATGTTATCATTAGTCTTTTATTCAGACTGTCAGTCAAATGAAAATTGCCGTAGTCGTTCTTATTTACTTTTTAATTAAGTGAAATGTTAACTTCACAACATCGCTCAATATTTAAAGGTTACTGTTCATTCCATACTTATCAACGTTTTAAAAGTTCAATAACATTTTTTCGATATCAAATATTCTACATCATATACAAGGAACCTATTGCATGAGTCATTGTTAATTAAATTTTCACAGGTTGAAATCTTGAGTCAATTGAAGCTAGACCACTATGGAAAACCATGGAAACCTGAGAAGCCGTTACCAGTGGAGTTCAACCGGTCTGTTGTGAGATAAAAACTCACTGAAGACAATGGTGTACGTTGGCGAAACTTCGTGGATTGCTTGAAGTTAGACATTAACACCATTGAATGCCGGCTCAGTGGTCTAGTGGTTAAGTGCTCGCGCGCGAAGCCAGTAAGTCCTGGGTTCGAATCCCGCGGGTGCGGGATCGTGGATGTGCACTGCTGAGGAGTCCCATTCTAGGACGAAACGGCCGTCAAGTGCTTCCAGGTTTTCCATGGTGGTCTAGTTTCAATTGACTCATGATTTCAACCTGTGAAATTTCTAAAAATACTCCACAAAACCCATTCCGAATTCAATTTTCGTTTGATATTACATTAGTACATCGATACAGATGAATCCATAGTTTAAATCCTATGGGTATTATTACTTTATTCATTAGGCACTGACAAAATTTGTCGATCATTGAATGTGTGATCTGTAATGAAAAACAATTTCATTTACTGTTATGATTATTAAATTAGTTGTAGAGATTTATTGAGGTATCTGGAACAAACATTTATGTTTTTCATTTTTATAATCTATCGACAGTGTTATGATCGAATGATAATAGTTGAAATAATTCCGACATTTCTTTCAATAAGATTGTCTACACTTCAGTGGAAAAAACCCTGATATAATAAAATAAAAGTATTTTCTATTTGCCATGATATACGACTATAAGACGATAATATAACCAGTGACCGATATTGTATTGCTGTTAGACTGGACCACATTGTATCAAATACACTATTCAAGATGAATTACAAAGAATTAATGAATAAACTAGAAAATATTTTCATTCAACACAATAACAAACAGTTTGTATTCAGTGAGTCTAGAGTAAATATCGGTCAGTGGAAAAACATCACAAATTCAATAGTTAGTAAGTTGTGTATGTCAGTGCGGGTTTAATGACCAATTACATTTATATTATATCCCGATAAGAATAATGAATGGTAGCTTTTGGGATCCATTTATGAACCAATGCTATTCATATATTTTTATCGTATAATTGTTATGTAACTAAACTGTTCATATTCATGTCCCTGTTATTATGAGTTTTGTTTTGACCTATCAACTATTATTATACGATTTAGCATTCTTGAATTATTCCCTATCTGTTAATCATTACCTCCCTCATTCACAGCCACTTTTGGTCAAATATTGTACAAATGTTGTTTCATATTTTATGGTACGTTGTGGTCTGTTTGATTGCTATATAAACCGAGCATGTTTGAAATAAATGATTCGTATGGCAGAGGCTGAGATTGGTATTCTGGACTCAACTGGCTGGGCTAGGTGGAAAGCAGGATCAATCAGGACTCTAGGCTGCTCTCACGTGTTTCATGCGTCACTGGTTCGGTCGATAGTTCTCTGCTCTCTGATTGGCGATATCGTTGCGTTATACAGTATACAGGGCAAACAGGTTCACAAGTTATAACAATTTACATTCACTAGCTATATACCACATACATTATGAGATGAATTCATTTCATTTTTTGTACTCTTAGTCTTCTACAGATTTAGATAAATAAATCAAATGTTTCACAATTGTGTATAACATACATAAAATCATTTATATATTGATTAATAGCAATAACATTTTCATTGTTAATTTATGGTTACTAAGAGTAATTCTATTATGATGATTACTGTTATTTTCTCTTTGTTTATCAAAATCATAGTAATTTGTACTTGTTTATTGCAGTCGATTACGTCATATTCTCTCTCTCTCTCTGTGACACACACTCACTTATTATGTTCGTCTATAAATTGTATGAATATGGAATGTAATTATAATTATTCATTACAAAACTGAGTTTATAAAACATTTGTTTATTCATACAAACCAGTATGTGTACATGGAAGACTTAAAGTACACGAAATGGAATAAATTCACTTCTTTCTACTGTACTTGTTGTTCTTACTTTATCAAGGAAAATAATTTCATAGGAATTATTTGATTGGTTAAAGTTTTTTTACTCTTGATTTTGGAGGAATTCTTTGGTTTCAATTAAAGTAGTGATTTAATCTAACTTGAATAGTCCATTCAAGCCATGAATGCATTCACATCGAAATAATATAGTTTTACGAAAGTTTTTAAAATTAAGAGGAAGACTGTTTTTTGATATTTTATCTTTAGCAAACTAAATGATCAACAGGAAATTAGATTTTTCATCGTTACTTTTTCCTTAGAAAACTATGTCAGTGTTTCGTTCCTAGAGTATATCATCGTTAGAACGTAGGATAATGCATTGTAAAAAAAAGCTGGATTAATTATTACTGTCGCTTGTAATTATTAACACCGTTTAAATTAGAGTATGATCAAGTTCCGTTTCAATGATCTCAAAAGTTTGTATTAATTTTAATGAAGAAGGAAAAAGACCTAGTAAACTTGTCAATAATTTGTATTATGAGTTATGTCTCCAGACATTTCAATTATCGTGATGTATAGTCTCTAGGACTCTACTAAGTAAATGTTAGTTTTCTTCCTTATCCAGCTCCATTTCATTAATCACCATTGTGTTTGACCTATTTTTTATCTACATATAATTTCAATAATATTTTTCATTATAAGGTTTCACTAAGAAACTGTGTATAAACTAAAGCAATCAGTATTTTAAGATACTCTCATTTTTCAACAAGTCTTCATTGAAGGATCTTAGCACAACTTGCACATGTGAGTAGTTCTTCGAAAACAACAGTATCTGAATATTCATCGCCTTCGAACAGTTCGAGACTTTATAAAATAGATTTTACACGCTCTAGACTTCAGATTAAATTCAAAATTTCATATCAACCCAGCCTTCACAAAAAAGACCAGTCTCATCTCTCACCGTCACTAACAACTACACAGTTTTCAAAATAGAGTTGTGGAGATTGTTGAATTTCATTGAAATCACGAATCTATCTAACTCAGACCACGATTAAAAACCGGGAAATACCGTGCACTGCTTAAGAACCACATTCAAGGATGAAACGGTCATCCAACGCCTCCAGGTCTTCAACGGTCTAATTTAGATTGGTTCATGAATTCAATGAAATTGTTCGATTTCTAAATACTTCAACTCATTTGTATCTAATACTTCACTGAATTCGCTTGTTAGTCTAGTAGAGATATGTTGCGTTTTGGCACAACTGAATTCTCATCTTTTATAGTAGTAGGAAAAATTGTGTATGTTTACTGTTTATTATACAAAGATAAATGTTCATGAATATAAATCTCCATGTCAAAATATTTTAGCACTTTATAATTTTTCTTAACTGTTATAACTAGCAAAATATCAAACCCCTCTTTTTCTAATTTTTGATCATATAAAGCCTAGTGGTAAACAACGCTGTTTAGACTATTGGTCAAAATATAGTTTAACTATGAAAGAATGTTGGAGCCAGTGTGCAAACATTTGGTGTGTATTCTCTTGTACACTATCCATATTTCCGGCAGTTCAGTCACGTGTTAGACCAGTAAATCCAGAATATTTTATTCCACGTAAGTCGTCAGTTATTACAACCCGTTCATAACACATGTAACTAATGTTTTAGTTGTATTATGAAGGCTTAAATTTTAAACTACTTTTATGTATTAATAGTAGTACGATGTAATCAATCTTGTTGCATGTACATAAATATATTATAAGGGTTTCACTTGGAAGTTTTTACGTACTTGTGTTTTTTCACAAGCTTACCCTATACAACAAGGGAAATTGTATCTTATATATTTTATCTATTAGAAATATTGTCCAATCCGCGTTTTCATATAACTGTAAGAACGAATAGAACTCCTTTCTGACTTCCTTCAATCAACCAAGATCTAATCCAATACAAACAACCAATGAGCACCATAAAGTTGTATTGTCCTAAATTGTCTACGAATCCTAAGTACTGCTCATCAATCGTTTTATGCACGAAATTATTTAAGAACTATAATAGATGATTATGGTTTAATATTACAAAAATAATAATTAAAAAAAATCAAAACATACTTCACTAGGGAATTAGTGCCAAGGAAGTATAAGAGGTTAAATGTATCATTTCTGCACACAGAGTTTGTATTTGAATTAATGGATCACCAATGCTTCAGCAATGCATACGCTTCTTTCTGAATTCTCTTTATTTTTATTCAATGATACAATCGGTTATTTAAATTAAACTTTATTTACCATCTCGTTAATAATTGTGTTTTTGAATATAGATAAACAAATTACGGAGAGACTCTAATTTATGGATGAGCCAATCAGAGGCGTTTGAAGGATTTCAATGTTACGGCGCCAACTTCAGTGCTTAATGCTAACGTACAATGGGTTCACAAGGAATTTTGTACAAAACATGATAATTGAGCGGCTATAACAAATAAAACGGCGAGACTATAATTTGTGGACGAATCAATCACGTATAAGATAACAGATCTCGGATTTGGGCACGAAAGTCTTCCATCCATTTGTCTAAATAGATTTCTGGCATCATAGCTGATGACAGTTCGTTATGAAAACCCCATATATAATTCCTAACTGAGGCAAACTATGACAATTATCGCGAACTGGATAATAAAAGTACCAGTAACACTGGCTGCAGCCAGGCACTACAAGATATAAGGATGTTTGGAGAGCCTACAGACTCCTACATAGGCTTGGTTATGTGCATCGTGTCGTTATCCACAAGTAGCGTTTTGTGCACTCAACAACCGGAGTGCACATAAACAATATTGAAGTCATGTGGTCGAGGCTGAAAGAGTTTTTGAGACTTTATCATAACTCCAGAAGCCGACTATTCTGTAGCCGTATGGATGATTTCCTCTACTACATGCATTACGATTTTAGAACCTCTAAACCTCTTTCGAAGCTTGACAAGTTTTTGAACCACGTATACGAAGTGTATCCACTTTATTTCCTTGCTTTTGTATAACATATTTTTACTCTGTACTGACTGTTCGCTGATTGGCTAATATTCTCAAGGTCACTTAAAATTCGTTCGAAAGTAATCTATGAATTAGAGTCTCGCCCAAATTACTTATAAGAAAGACAGATAGTAATAATAATTATTATTATTTCTCGTTTATTCATATTTGTTAGACATTTAACTTTTCATATTATTTAATTGAAGTGATTTCTTTCATTTTACAATATTGTTTTAGCTCTCTGGTTTGTTGATGTGACTTGTTTCTTATTTTTCAATGTATTTGCAATGTTGGGATGTATTCTATGTAACTGGATACAATTTGTAAGTTAATTCACTTTACCATATTATTTTCAGCACCTTTTATTTATGTTACTTATATATGTAGTAAATATGAGATTAAGCAATATGATATTCATCATTCTGTTTAAATTATTTCCTTAAGTATTTTAGAAAATGTGATTTTTCAACATTTCCTAACCTTTTGAAATTTTTTTTTCTTTAATGAACTGTTTCAAGGTACTCTGATTTTAACGTTGTCATCTTTAAAAACAAGTTCTTATTTGTATTTAAAACAAATAATAGTATGACTTGATCATTCGCTTTATTCTACATGAGTTAATAGTGCTATCAGAAGAATTAATCGAAGTTGCTTCAACTGGATAAACTATAAACAAAACTTATTTAATTTGCAGAACCAATTTATTCGTATGAACTGTCATTTCATATATTGTAGATTATAGAGTATTACATCACAAGATGCTATTTCCCATTATTCTCATAAGAAATTCAATGTTGATATGTTTATACCATAAATTAAAGTCTACACTTCATTTTAGAAAGTCCATACGACACTATAAAGAAATCCTGTGTCCCACAGCAGCCTAATTTATAAACGCTTTTTTAAAGAATCACAATTTGTTGAAGGAACATTTACAAATAATTAATTTCTTAAAATTTTGACACAAAATTTGGGGAGTTTTTCAGATCAATGATAATTAATAACCAAGAGAATCAATAGCTTATCAGACAAAAATTATATTCATTTCAAGAAAAACATAGGGTAGTAATTAGAGGTAAATGAGAGAACTTGCGTTAAACCTATTCAGTTCTAAATACAATTAGTGTCCACGACACAAAAGATCATAAAGTTGGATGACGCAATGAGATGACGAATTTTATCAGATTAAGGCAATGAATTTCGAACAGTTCAATTATATGTATAATTTACATATGATTCCCATTTAAACATGAAAAACACAACATTCAACGAAGGGATCTCTTTTCAACGAATTCGCTATCAAGCTGTACAATCATACATATTTGAAAATTTTTGTTAATGTATTAGTTCCGTGAGGACATATGAACAAGGAATTAACATGATGATGTAACAGAACGATTATAATACTAGATCACGTGATATGAATAATAGTAATAATAGATTGTGTGTGTGCAAATAGAAAGCCTTGTAAAATTAATAAAGTTGGTCACAGACTTTAACATGAAGGAAGTAAGATGATTAAGTTGTTTTTGTTACAATAATAAAAGGTGATAAAGAGGTTAGAAGGAAATGACGTGATATCAGAAACAATTATGAATAAAATCATGAGGATATGAGACATAAGTAAAAAGATGGGGGATATTTTCAAACATGAGATGAAATAATAACAACAGTAATAATAATAATTTAAGGCCAAGGTAACGATAAAACTTCTTTTCCACAAACACTTCTGGCTTCAACTGATGAATGGCAAGGGCTTCTGCTGTTTTAAGGAGTTGGATACGAATAAATCTAGGTAGATTTGAACGAATTGTATAAACAGCCTTAAAATTAACCTGTTGATCGGTAGAGTAATTGGTTCGACTCCATGTTCAAGAATAGAATTAACTGCTTTCCTCTCACTCTTATAGGACCACACTGCGCCATGTTCTCGTATCCGAGTTGAAAGCAGGTGCTGGATACGGCCTAACTACCTTGCTCCACTAGAGCGGGTGATGCACATGGGCTTACTGTACTGAAGTTATTATTAATGCAGTGTTCTACGGTAAAGATATTGGGATCATATAACAGTGAATATCATATGGATTGACTTGTAAACTAAATCACAATTACGATAGCTACTTTATTCGAAAATAAAAAAGAGAGATCTTGAGTGCTATAAAATACTTTTGCAAATAGTATTATTGATCTGATTGTTCAAACCTTATGCACTGCGAAAATTTCAAGAACTCGTTGTTATTCCATTAATCCCTTCCGAAATGTAAAAAACGGAAATTTCTTTAGTCCACGTTCATCCAATTTTTGTCTGTTTCCTTTAGATTCTGAGTTTAAGAACTATTTCATAACCTTTATTTCTGTGAATTGAATCACATTCCCTATTTCTCGTTTCTAAGTATGAGTGATAATGTTAATACTACTACTACGTTAATATTCACTTTGTTCATGCTATCTCTCTGTGATGATACGGTCGCACACACGATACACATCTGTACCAAGCCCTAACTTCCTTATTACTGACTTGACAGTGTGTTTATTTATTTGAAATTGGTGTTATTATTGTCGTCATTATAACGTTATACCTCTTCATCATCACAGAAGTTCAAGTCAAATCATTAAAATTATCAATTACGCTACAAAATGTAATTTCATCAATGTGAACTTTCGAAAAAAGCCATGAATTGAATAAATCTTAGTTTCTTTTTTCAATATTTCCTTTGTCTTAAACAGCCAGGACCGCGTTATCTATGGATTCCTGTATTGTTACGTACTATTATCTTCATTCCATTCTTTTTATCCTGTAATTTCGGGATTGAAAATCCTCATCTATCTGTTCTGATTACAAATGATCATATATATGTATTAGGTTGTATTTTATTTGCATTCAGTAATGGACATCTTGCATCACTCGGTTTGATGTATGCACCAAGGTAAGTTAATATTATGTTGACTCTTTTTCAGTGCTAATAATCTTCATTAAATTATTCGATTACGGTTACAGTACTCTGGTGGGATGGGGGATTGTGAGATTCAGCTGTCTCATAAGGTCATGTGATTAAGACCTCGCCATGGAAGTGTTATTCATTACCTTCAAGTGGCGAGGGTGTATTTTTTGTAAGTAAGAGATCAAAAGAGTGACTACAGAAATCACCTTTCGGTTAGCGACCAGGTAGTATCCCGACCCCCACGTAAATATGTCAATAATTATGAATACAGACCTCTGTCCTATACACCTAGCTACCTACTAAAACATTACTCAAAGGACCCTATTACAAATGAAGTTATTTTGCTCTACTTTAAATTTCTATTTTGTTTTGTTCTCGTTTGTGTGCTTTCATTCCCTAACTCAGCAACTCGTGTCTATTGAGAGATATACGCTGTCTAAACGATCTCAAATCGCTGACACGTCGATCTTGTGAATGCTGCTATCGAATAAGAACATGTATATAGATTTTCTAAAGTCATATGTATGGTATAAACTCGCCCCTTTCAGTGTCCAATAGATGTTATAGCGATAGCCGGGAGTTTAAAATCTCAGGTCGGGATTCTTGCCAATAGGGACTTAGTGGTCGAAGGTCAAACGACGTTATCGGCTCCAACACCTTTGTAAACATCATTAACAGTTTCTGGGCTGCACCAACTTCCCTCGCATTCACGACCGAGTTACTTAGCGTCTTGCCTCTGTAACTCAAGACAAGGCTCACACTGCGATCAGCTATCGTTAGCATGTATACGAACAAGACTTTAACTCCTTTTAGAGTACATATTTAGGTACTGCTTCAACTCATCTAAGTGACTGGAATTAAGAAGTCTATTGCTAGTGAAACAATCTATGAATTGACGGCATATCAATTATCAATATCCAAACGCGTCTTGGATGATGAGCTAGTTTTTTCGAGGAACAGTTTAGCTAGTCTGTTGCTCCAGCAACGTTGATTGAACTGTCCCATCCCTCCTAGATGATGTCTTCTGATCCATCTAACGAAGAGATCTTCAATGAACAATAAATTATGAAGCACCACAAGTCAACAAGCCCAGATGACCTAGTCCCTTCTTTTTCTAAGAATGGCCGCGAGCTTCTATCCAGTGTTGTTTAGAAAGGTCATTATTCATGTCTAAAAATGGTTTACATAATTTATGAACTACCATCGGAGGATTCCTACTTTGAATACGTCCAATCTATTGGCTTGCTTCATATTCCACAAATTGTCCGAAACTCATGAAAGACTGAAACACATTGGTGTTAATTAATATGCCAGAAGATATACTGGGAATTATAGAAAAAAAACATAAACACATCGAACGAAGGTTCTAGTACTTTGCGAGGCAACACAACAGTTCAGTTGGAGCTTTATAAATGGATCTTACACCTGAATCCTAACCGTCACAGAACTGTAGTGATTATTTCTAGGCTTTTATTACCACTGAAGCCTTAGCTTGTACAATACTGAATCGATTTTATACCATACTCAAATAATAAAAAAAACCCAACTTGTTTTACTTTTCAGATGTTGTTCACCTGATCGAGCTCCGTTAGCTGGAATGTTTGCCGCATTTTTTTTAATTCTTGGAGTATTCACTGGAGTTTACGCTTCTCGAGGTCTAAATAGTCTTATATATTAATAAATTACTATTAAAGTCTAAATAGGTCTAATTATTAAAAAAAACTGTTGTATATGATCGTTGATGCACTCTATAATAAATATCTTTTATGTCAATAGTTATATCTTTTCTTTATTATATTACATTGAATTCTTTAGAAAAAATGAAACAATTATCCATAATTAATACTGATAATTATTTTTAATTGGTTACTATAACGCAACATCCCTATTGTCATTTTACATAATCTTTAAATTTACCACCACCAACAACAACAAAAAATTCTTAACAGCGCCCTTTTTCTTACCTGTGACAATTAAAAAACTTTATTACATTTTAAATATTAAAAAAAACAGCACTGGGGCCATTATTATTGCATTTTCATTTTATTTGTTGCATATTGAGTATGTTTTATAACTTTTGATTGATGAAATTATAAATTTTAATTGTAGTTTAACATTTATTAAATTTTAATGAATAAAATTTATTGGTGAACTAATTTGAGCATATTCTTTCTTGATATTTAAGTTATTCTGAATGATACAGCATCGTTATAATAAGTAACAGAACTGTACATAAGTAGTTAATTTAATATAAATCACATACTGTATAGAAGTCAACAAACCACATTTATGGTAAATAAAATATATAAATTCTAACATTAAATTGCAAAGATCAAAACTGCTAGATCACAAATGATAATTTCAACTAAATAGTTTAGCCATGGCTAAATGATATGTAACTATATACTATAAATTCATCGACAATGTCTTTCAACACAGTGTAACGTGAGTATTGATGGGTACATACTATTACTAATCCTATAAGTTCACCATAAAGTGCCTTTTCGGATATATATATATATATATATATATAAGTGATAACTAGTCACAAACGTCTTGTCTATTCATACCCCTCAGAGTAGTAACATATTTTGTCACTTGATCTAAATAATAAACTATAAAGCCTAATCTATGAAATAGTCATAATCTATCATGCCAAAGTATAGGTGGAAATTCTGTGCTCTAAAAACCACACTATTTGTCCATTCTGATCGAATATAAATTATGGGAAATTATATTAACTAGAATGTTGACTCGAAGATAAAACACTACACAAATACGAATATTGTATTGCGATTTCTACTTGAATTATTAAAGAAATTGGTCGTCTAAGAACTTAAATTCAGGTGATCTACTTTTTATCTTAATGTATTGTTACGAACATGGTTTTGCAAATGTTGAAATTAGTGTGACAAATATTCATTATTCTTGTAACAAGTGAGTTGACGTAACATTGATGAAGAATGGAAATTACAACACATGGAAGTACGCCTCTTACTGTACCCAAAAACCTCTTGTATACTTAGGTAAACGAAATCGGACGGATACAATACAACATATAAATCGTACTTTTCTCACATAATTCTGTCTAAAATCAAAAACCTCCCATATTTCCGAGACAGTTAATCATCTTATTATTTTTATATCATATTTAATTATGTGTACCAAAGCGTTAGTTTATTGTTCATTAACAGAAAAATTAATGGAATAACTTGCAAAGCATATATTATTCAAAATACACACAACCGAAATGAAACAACAAAGAAAATAATGAAGAAAGAAGAAAAAATTATCATGATCATCAATACTATTGAAATTGAGATGTAATACTTTGTTATGCAAACAAAATGAACTATTAAAAATGGAACGAAACAGTAATATATGCACTATTGTAATATATAATGTAAATCTTGGTTGTTATGCTTTTTTTAATACTGCAAGTTTTATACGTAATAAAAGCTACTGGCATTTAAAAATAATATAGCTCAATAATGATACTAACATTGATAATGACAGTATTTTTAATGAATTATGACTTGGTTACAAAAACAAAGACAAGAAATAGGATAGTTTACAAAAAAAGTAACGAACAAGAGAAACGACAATATACACTCATTTAATAATCTGTTAAATGAATATAAGATTTTTTTAAAAATTTGCAGCATCACATTTCACTGAATAGTATCACATATACAGGATGCTCATTGACGTTTTGCATAGCTTTAATTTCATCGTTTCCGTATAGCACTACTCAAATCAGAATGTATTCAATTTATTTTTAAAAAACGATTAGAAAAACAAATTTTACAAAATACTTTGAATAAAATAATTCACAATTTAAAACAATGATCTTTTATTTCCAGTATATGCACAATAAATCATAACAGTTAAGGCTGAGAAAAAAAATTACACAATTAACATGAATCTATTACATTTTTCTACACTATGAACACAGTTACAGAAAATAAAGGGAATCATTAAGGCAAATCCATAGTTATTATTTTTTTATTCAATCATACAAAATATGAGGGAAAATAGCAACAAAGATTTTTTTCTCAAGTTTATTTTCATGAAGCTTACAATATATATATATATATATATATATATATATATATATATATATCGTGTAATATATTGACTTTTAGTTGCGACCATGAAATGCACATACATACACACATTGAAACAATAATAGCCAAAAAAACTTTCTAATGAATAAATAACCTTAGTTGTGATACAGTGGTAACAACAAATGCGTATAATTTTAGGCTTGCATTGATTCGATCAACAAACCACAAAAAGTTCATGTATACTACTAATATAATAAATAAAAAGAAAAGTAGAATTAGCACTACAATGAAAATAAACGAATTCACAGTTTTATTTATCATTTTGTAGGACAAAGAAATCAAAATTGGTATTTGTTTATATGATTACATTGATACTGATAAATTATATTGATTTAGTAACAAATTAATTAAATCATTTAACAAGAAAGTGAATAGTACATATTTTCTTAATGATTCTTACTTTTTTTTTGTATGAGAATAAATAAATAAACACAAACAATAGTTTATATGAATTTCTATTTGAATGAAAGTGAAATTGACAATTTACTGTGATTGAGACTAACATAATGTAAACAATAAGTAAGTGAGGTGACTATGTTTTTCTAAATTAATTACAAGAAAAATTGGGAAAAAGAACTAGACAAAGGAATAGTTATTGGATAAATAGTTATGTTACTTTTCTTGTTTATGGCTCTACGTTTGTTTTTTTTTTCTTTCATTAGTTTTTTTCGTCAATGTTTTCATCTAATCGTTCTACCAATTGGATGGATTTAATTTTAATTTGTATAATTTTAATTTAAAGCCCAATGACTCAGATAGTAAAGTAGATACACAAGAAAGTAAAACTAATTTAAATATATTATACACTAATGGATTCAATGTCCAACCACAAACACGAAATGGACCATCAACTTCTTTTAGTAGACCTTCAACTAAACGTAGAACTTGAAATGTTAGCATTAAATCTTCTTTTTTATGTGGTTTACTCTCCATACTTAAATATAAATTAATCTAAAACATAACAAAAAAATAAATAGTAATAGTTATCAGTGACAATGAAAAAGAATATCATTAATAAGTAAAATGTAAGACTAGATGAAATGACAACTTTATCAAGTATCTTAGTTTGATGATTTACTGGTTTATTCAATTAGATTTCAGTAAAATCGTGCACTTAACATGGGTCTTTGATCTCTGAATTGTATTTTATTACATTTCTAAATTAGTAAAATTCAATAACAATATAATAACAAAAACAACTACCATTGAGTTTTTACCATACGATGTCAACAAACAAATCATATTGTTCCAAAAATATGCGAAGTTATCTACTCTTTTTTAAGTGTTCAATAAGATTGCTATCTCTAGCAATTTTTTTCCGTTTACTCAATAAGTCAGTGTTGTATATAAAAGTGTAATTTTCACTGGAGACAACATCTTAATCATCTAAAGCTATCTATATGTGGTGCATGCTACTTATGTCAACAGATATTAGGTAGTATGTAAAACTAATCGGTAGTGGAAAACCTGGCAGCAAAAGGTTAAGAAAATCAATTTGAAGACAATAGAAAGGAATTGTAAATTGGAAGAATCATACAGAATGTTAAGGACAAATGATAAAAATTCGCAAATAAAGTATTTAATGTATGGTTTTCATATTTTACCAAGAAATTCTGTAATTTTGTATTAAACAATACATTGGTTGCCCCACCTGACTTATCGTTCATTACATACATACGTTTTTTATGAACAATCACTGTTGTACATTTGAACTCGTCGGATGGAAAAAGTAAATAAAGTCGAAGTTAGAGTTTTCAATGAAATCCTGAGTGAAAATTATACTGTTACATGTAGAACTCATTAACTAAATGAATGGGAAAATATCTAAAAATGCTTCATAATTTTAATGCTTCATATTTTAAACATTGAGAAAGGGACACATAACATAGATGAAAAGTAGGAGATGTGAATGTGTGATGATTTTAAACAGTATTTCCTGCTGAACTAAATTCTCATTTCGAAAATTCGGGATTTAACAAAATTGTACACCGATATTATTGGAGGTGACAAGAATATTTTACGCATATTTAGCATTCAGGTCCTAAGTGATATGACACTAGTGGATAAACTCACTGTTATTCTAATCAATAAAAGAATAAACAAAATTATGTTGCATCCATAAGATATTTGCAGACCTTACTTGTTATGGCTCAAAATCGACCATATTATCATGCACATATATTACTTACCAGTCTATTTGTGATTACTTCTTTCATTCACGTTGATACCTTTACAATTATAGTGGTTTGATTGAAATTAAAACCGTTATCTAGTGGTCAGGTGTTGGTGTGCGAGACCGAAAATGCCGGGTCCGAGTCCCGTGTGTAGCATCATGGATACGCTCTAATGAGAAGTACCACATCAGGACGAAATGGAATTCTAGTGCCTACAGGTTTTCGATCGTGATTTAACACTGATCGGTTTGTGATTTTAATGGAATTCAAGAAATTTCCCCAGACCCATACTGAAAATATTGTTGTTCATCATTTCTATTTATCTGTTTGTTTAGTCTTTCATATAAAAAAGTGAAATTTGCTAAACTTTGTCTTCT